ATGGGAAACTTTCAAAGTCATTAATATTCAAAGAAAGGCAGACCCAAAGGACCATTTTATAGCCATTAAATTGGAACCACGAAGAACTATCACACACACCTCTGCCAGAGTCATAAAGTAGCCCGGAGTTACACATTGCTGTTTAGGCGTTTAAATTGATATAAAAAGGTTTTGGAAAAGAGTTCTGGTGATACATATAAAGCATTGTCAACATACCCACGCCCCCTTTTAGTATAAAACTTCTGGGAATTCATCCCAAGGAAACAATCCAGAGGAAAGAGAAAGCTACAAGCCCAAGGTTGTTATACATCACTCACAATATTCGAAAATCAGAAGCAGTAAAATAAGCCAGCCCCTAGGGAATGGTTAATCAATGATCTGTATCCCTTTTAGAAGATATGAGGAAAGGACTGGCATTGTTAGGATTTTGGTGGCCGCACGGAAGAACACCCATGATGTGAAGTGAAATTTCAGAGCAGAATCAAATGCGTCTGTTCTAGAATCGCCAATACGTAAAAACTGTTCTGTGCTCCCACACCAGGACTTGGAAGAGACCCTGCAAAGGAAAAAGCTGCTCATTTGATGGGTAACATCTGTGGCTGAACTGTTTTCTTATTTCTCTCTCCCTCTCCCTCCCTCTCTCAGAGAGAGGGAGGGAGAGGGAGAGAGAGGGAGTGTGTGAGCTGGGGAAAGGGACCAAGGGAGAGAGAGAATCTTAAGCAGGTTCCACACACCTAGTGTGGAGCCCCACGTAGGGCTCGATCTCACAGCTGTGAGCTCAAGACCTGAGCCAAAATCAACAGTCGGGCCGCTCAACCCACGGAGCCACCCAGGCGCCCCCGAACCATTTTCTTATTTCTGTTAAATGTAACTTATGGCACTGGTGCAAGAAAGTAACAATGATCGTAGCAATCATCTTCCAGAAGGACCTGGAAATGCCCTCCCTCGGTATTTAAGTGCCACATCAGCTGCGTTTCCTGACGTCACTGAGGTCCGGCTGGCCTCCACCACGCATGCTCCCGGGGAGGCCCTGAGGCCGGAGCTTACGGGGTTCCACAAGAGGAAAGGTGCTCACATCACCTTCCAGAGGCCGCAGGCAGGCCTGACCACCCGGGCCTAGACCTGTCATCCTGCAGAGCTCACGCCAGGCCCCGGGGTTGAGAAGAAACGGCCCTTTCCCCTTCTTCAAAGCCATGTTGCTGAGCTCCAAGTACTAACTGGGAACTTAGAACACAGATCCCGCTGGCAGCCTGTGGACCGGATGTGGCCTGTAGGCATGTTTTCTTTGGCTCAATCACTGTTTGAAAAGTTGGAACATTTCACATTACAAAAAAAAAAAAAAAAAAAAAAAAGGGCCGTATTTCCAGCAACTCATGAGGGTTTGGAAGCCGTGACGACACTAGACCTGCCTTCTGGGCCGGCAACCATGAACCTGCGGGAGCTCTGGGTGGGCGCCTCACTTAGGACAGGCTCGCATTCATTCATGCATGCCAAGAGTCACCTGGGCACCTGCTCGGTGCCAGGCACTGCTCTAGCTGCTGGGAATCCTGCAGGAAGCAGACAGACACCATCTCTATGGTGCTTCCCTTCCCCAGGGAAACAGGCCATAGACCTGTATGCGATGGTTCCCACATTATGAAGACAAACACGGGACCGCGCAGACAAGAGGCCATGCTGGTGGGGAGCCCCAGGAGACCTGTCTCAGAAGGACATTTGACTTGATCCCTGAAGGATGAGACGGGGCCAGCTACACAAAGATGTGGGGTGAGAACGTTCCAGGCCAAAGGAAGAGCTTGTGCACAGGCCCCAGCCTATGAATGAGTGTGCCGAATGGCCCACAGTTCATTCGTTCATTCATCCATTCTCCCCACAGCTGGGAGAATGGATTTATTCTAATTACAGTGGACAAAGCGCTGGGCTTTAAGGGGTGGGAGGGTATGGTGATCTGATTTATTTTAATGATATCTCTCCGGCTGCTAAGTGAAGAAAGGGCCAAGGGAAGGGAGGGAATCAGGGAGGAGAGGGGGCCGAGACACCAGTCAGGAGGTGGTCCGGATGGTCCAGGCGAGAGATGCCCAGAAGCAGGGAGCAAAGTGGCCGGATGAGAGACCCTCAGCGCAGGAGAGCCGAGGACGTGCGGACGGAGTCAGTGGGAGGCAGGGTGTCAAAAGGTGTGCTTTCGAAAGTGGGTGATATCGGGCGGGCCTGGGCGGCTCGGTTGGTTAAGCGTCTGACTTCGGCTCAGGTCATGATCTCACAGTTCGTGAGTTTGAGCCCCGAGTCAGGCTCTGTGCTGACGGTGCGGAGCCTGCTTGGGATTTTCTCTCTCCGCCCCTCCTCCACTTGGGCGCGCTCTCCCTCCTCCCTCTCAAAATAAATAAATAAACTTAAAAAAAAAAAAGTGGGTGATATCAAGGCGTTTACACAAGAGGATAAATGGATGGTCTGGTGGAGGGGGGATCATGCCAAGTGCAGTTTATAATCCTCCCGTGTGGCTTTCCTGGGCCAAGAAGTGAACAGCTTCTCAGCGTTCAGCTAAAGGGAGAAAACACATCGGCACGGGCAGCCAGGGTCTGCCCTTTAGCGCTGACCTGACGGGAGGGAATAGTCCAGGTTTCCATGTGAGCCCTCATAGGGCCTTTTGTGTCCCCTGGGAGCCTCTTCCCACCGCAGAGCACAGGCTCAGACGGTCTCCGGGGCTTGGCAGTGGTTCACGAATGCGGCGAACAGTCTGATCTTCAACCTCACGTGTAGTCAACGGGCAAGGGACAGAAGCCCTTGCCCGTGAGGGGTGGGAGGGCACAGGGGAAGGATGAGCCCGTGGCTTTTGCACGTGTGACTTTGCCAGGGCTCAAACCTTCTCAAACTGAACCGCTAAGCGAGGGGCCCGGTCGTGCATTCACGGACCTTTCCTGTATCAACAAGGGTTATTCATGGCATTAGGACAGCTGGTTGACCTGAGGATGCCTCGACGTCTCTATGGAAACCTGTCTTTTAGCCATGATGTCTGCTAACATTTTCTTTGGCTGATTACTTGATGAAGAAGGATGAGGGTCCCTTTGGTGCAGAAGTAGGTCAGATCACCAAGGCTCCCGTATCCAGCCAAGGAGACCGGATCATTTCAGGATGTTCAGAAGAACAGCCATCAGACTGGCCTTTGGGAAGGATGCCTCTGGCCATCTGGGCAGAAAAGGAGGCTGGGAGTAGGGAGATGGCACAATGACCAGCGCCCAGACCTGACACAGTAGCGGGGGCCAGGGCAGAGGGGCTGGAGACGTTCTGAACGCATGCGGGTGTTATACGAGAGGGACACTGGAGTGTCAGGAACTCACAGGTCGCTCACTGGGGTGTGGGGTGGGCTGAGGGGCGTGCAGTGACATACGAGGGGAAGCCACCCTCACAAAGACCTCTCTGCCCCACTTGGCAGCCAAGCCTGTTAAACGGGAGTCCCCTCCCCTAGACCTGGTCAAGAGCAGCTAGATGCCAGCTCTGCCCCTTCAAAAGACCCTCTGCCATCCTCAACAGAAGGGCCTTCCTTCCCAGAACACCGGGCTGGGGGGCTTTGGTGGCCCGTGTCCCTCCTGAACGGCTTCTTTGCTCTCCCTTCTCGTTTTGCCCGAGAACTTGCCTGCGCACTGGAGTCACGTCACGCTCTTTTCAGATCCAAGATAATTGGTTTGGTATGAATTTCTTTTTAAAATTAACGTTTCATTTCACATGTGATCCACGAATAAATCGTAGCGATTTAATACATTTCAGAGCTCATTTTACTTTTGATGAATAAAGTGCAACTCCCAGTAGGGCCCGTTCTCTCTGGTAACACGGTGGGTAAAGGTCAGGCCGCTTCCCCACCACAGACTGGCATGCGTGAGGGTTAATTCTGTGTCTCAACTTGACTAGGCCATGGTGCCCTGCTGTTTGGTCAAACACCGGGGTAGACTGCTGTGAAGACACTTTTAAGATAGGGCTGACATTGAACTTAGTAGATTTTGTGTAAAGCAGATCACTCTTCCTCATGTGGGTGGGCCTCAACCAATCAGTTGAAGGCCTGCTTTTCCTCCGGGCTGCAGCATAGAAAATCTGCCCGTTTCCAGCCTGCCGTCCTGCAAAATTCAGACTCAAGATTGAACACCAACTCTTATCTGAGTTCCCAGACTGCCGACCTGTCCTGCAGGTGTCAGACTGACCATATTCCACCACTGTGCGAGCCGATTCCTTAAAATCAATCTCTCCTTCCAGATACAGGTCTATATGTCCCGTTAGTTCTGGAGAGCATGGACTAATCATAACCTCAGGTGACTCTGACGGCTCCCCAGGTTCACTCCCTCTCTTCCTTCAAGTCTCTGCTCAGCACGACCCTGTGAGACCATGCCTCTGTGTGGTACACCCCAGCCTTCCCTGTCCACCCCCACCCCCCGCCCGCCAAATGTGCCCTTCCCCTCCGCACTTGTGTGCACCTGAAATACAACACACATCGTTCGTTGTCTCATTACCTCTTGGTCCACTGCTGGAAGGTCAGTGCCACGTGAACCCTGTGTTGGTCACCGATGACTCCCCCACACCTAGAACGGGGCCCTGCATACAGTTGGCGCTCAGTACCTACTCGGTGTGAAGCAACTACACAACGGACAGATTTGGGAATGTGGGTCAGAAGGAGGTGGGACCACGTGGGCGGTTCCTCCCTGCCCTCGACTTTCCCTCTAATCCAGGGACCAGCCCCTGCCAGGCTTCCTTCCTTGGGGAGTCAGGGCCCTAATCCACTCAGCACCCTAACGATAGCCACATAGTAACACATACCAGGGGCGCCTGGGTGGCTCATCGGTTAAGCGTCAGACTCTTGGTTTGGGCTCAGGTCATGATCTCATGGTTCATGGGTTTGAGCCCTCCACTGGGCTCTGTGCTGGCAGCTGTGAGCCTGCTTGGGATTCTCTCTCTCTCTCTCTCTGCCCCTCCCCACCTCAAAATAAATAAATAAACTTAAAAAAACCACACACACGTACCAAAAGGGGGGAGCCGCTCTGCTTCTGAGAAGCAGATGTCTGGCTCCTGGGTCCTCCTGCCGTAGCTCGCAGAGTAGATGTTGAGAAATTTCGATGGGTGACAGTGCAGCTTCAGCTCTTGGTTTTCACACACGGTTTTGTTTTTTAGTTCATCTGAAGCAGAAACAAAGATCAGCGACACCATCAGCTTCCCCCAGAAGGACTCAGGGAGCCCTACGCGAGCCCTCAGGGGCTGTATGCTGAGAAGGACAGTGGGAACAGCCCCGCCAGCCCATGGCATCTATGACCCTGAGAAACAGCGCCCTCTGCAGGAAGACAGTGGGAATGACAGGTGCACAAGGAGGAGATTGGGGGGCGGGGGTAGTGACGGCAGGCAGGGAAGGCAGGACTTTCTGGCTTGGGTTTGCGGATGGGGGGCCTGGCCGGAAAGGATGTTTCTCTCCCTCTCTCTCCACCTGAGGTCACATATTCCTTAATTGAAGGGAGCCTTTCCTCAAATGCAGGCTTGGAGCTGCACAGGTAAAGACCAGGGATCGCCTGATTGAGGATTAAACCTCTGGAGACAGCCCGCTGACACCTCACCACCGGACCTCCTAATGTTCTAGCACACACCCCCATTTATATATTTAAAAAGAAAAATGATACAAAAGCGAGTTATTTCCTTGGGTAGAATACGGGAAAAAACAGGGCATGTGAAGAGTCCCTCTTCAGGGCAGTATGAAGATCTCAGTCCAGGAGCACCTGCGGCTGGGGCCGCGGTTGTGTGCTACCTTCCGACTCCCTGCACCAGGTCACAAATTCCCAAAGAATTTAGGAAAAGGTCTGTGTGTTTGTTTAATCCGCATGCCACTGTAAAATTTCCCTCTGCAATGTCACACAGCGTTGACACTGTAAATGCATTGCTGATGAAAATATAGTTTATTGTTTTTTCTTAAAGAATGTACTGGAGGGGTGCCTGGGTGGCTCAGTCGGTTGAGCGTCCCACTTCAGCGCAGGTCATGATCTCGCGGTCCGTGGGTTCGAGCCCCGCATCCGGGTCTGTGCTGACAGCTCAGAGCCTGGAGCCTGCTTTAGATTCTGTGTCTCCCTCTCTCTCTGCCCCTCCCCTGCTCATGCTCTGTCTATCTCTGTCTCTCAAAAATGAATACACATTAAAAAAAAAAAAGAAGGTACTGGAAAAGCATTCAATTAATAAAAAAAAAAAAAAGAGTTTCATAATGATTTGATTTTTAAAAGCAGTAACAGTTAACCTGCCAGAGACAAAGAACCACAGAGTGTATGATTCTATTTTTTTGAGATATCCAGAAAAGGCAAAGCGAAGAGACAGAATGTGGGTTAGCGGTTCCCTGAGGCTGAGGGTTGGGGACAAAGGGAAATGACAATACACGGACACAGGACATTTTTTGAGATGATGGAAATGTTCTAGAGCTGGGTTATGGTGACGGTTACATGACTCAGTACAGTTACTGAAAATCACTGAATTGCACTTAAAACAGATGACATTTATGCTACGCAAATTATATTTCAATAAAGATATTTCAAAAATAATAATAGCCAAATTTATTGAGCACTTCCTTGAATTAAGCCCTGTTCTAAGATCTTTAAATGTATCGGTGAATTTTTTTTTTAAGTAGGCTTCATGCCCAGTGCACAGCCCAATGTGGGCTTGAACTCAATGATCCTGAGATCAAGACTTAAGCTGAGATCAGTCATGAGATCAAGACCTAAGCTGAGATCAAGAGTTAGATGCTTAACTGACTGAGCCACCCAGATGTCCCTAAATGGATCAATCAAGTTCATACTCAAAATAGCCCTTCTGGGAACCACCTCTTCATATCCTTGGCATGTTGTGTTTTGGATTTTTAGACACTGTAGCAGTGATTCATATAGTCTGGATGCTAACCTTCCTCTTTTACGTGTTATAAATATCTTTTCCTAGCCTGCCACTTATCTTAAACTTTGCAAAAGCAAAGCAAAGCAAAACATAAAGGGGACTATGCCCATTTATTTGCACATGTGGTTCTCTTCTCCCTACCTCCCCAATGTTTCCTAAAGAAAAAAATCATTCTATTACCCTCGTTCTAGATTTGTTTTTACTTTGAAATGTCAACTGCAGTGCAAACAGGAACATTTTTCAGCCAAACAAGCCAAGAGGAGCTAAATTACAGGAGCTAATGAAGGCTGCTTGGGGTGGGGAGGAAGAACATACCGAGAAGAAGGAAAACTAGCCCCCCGCGATGACCCCCCATGACCACCCCTCCTATGACCATCTCCCAAGACCATCTATGGCCATCCGCCCATGACCACTACCACTGTGACCATTCCCCATAACCACTCCCCATGATCACCCCCCCCATGACCATCCCCCCCAGCTCCCACTTTCACTTCTCTGACTCAGTTATGTTTTTGGATTGGAGGTGCAGGCCATGCCCAGATCCCTCATAGATCTCAAGTTAAAGTTTTCCAAACAGTGACTTAAGGCCTATTCTATTCATGAAATCAATTTAGCAAATGGTGACCAGCAATTTTAAAAAAAACAAAGAGTTTAGAAAACATCAAAGCACCTCACTGCAAAAAAGGATAAACACTGTTTTATAATTTTTAAAAATCCTTTCAGTTGTGTGTATGTTATGCCGGGCCAAAATGTAAAATGTTTTCCTTATCCTGCATTGTAATCAAACCAATCTGAAAGCCCCCACTGAAGCCTTTACGGGAAGGCGTAATGTCTACACCAGAGAAGCAGCAGTGAGGAAAGCTTCAGGATCTCAAGATACCGTCAGCTCTGGTGCTGCTTAAACCTGACACTGGTCTTTTTTTTTTTTTTTTTTTTTTAATGTTTATTTATTTTTGAGAGAGAGAGACAGACAAACAGAGCATGAGCCGGGGAGGGGCAGAGAGGGAGACAGAATCGGAAGCAGGCTCCAGGCTCTGAGCTGTCAGCACAGAGCCCGATGTGGGGCTCGAACCCACAAACCATGAGATCCTGACCTGAGCTGAAGTTGGACATTGATCGACCGAGCCACCCAGGCGCCCCGGCCTTACGCTGTTCTTTAATCCGTGCTGAGGGGAACACTCAAGATGAGTGAAAGGCGTGAAGCAGAAACCAGGTTACAGATGCTCACCACATCCCCGTACGGCCTAGTAACACACAAGGAACTATCAGAGGAGGGAAAGTTCTGGGGTGACCAAGCAGTATGTAGAATGCCCTTCACCCACTCATTGGAATCTTAATACAACAAGTTTGAACCTAAAGCCAAGAGGCTTTGTTTTCTTTTTCTGAACAAAAAGAACACTGAGTCTGACCCTGACATCGAGGGTTTGATTTTGGTGAGTCACATCCGCACTGGTATGAGTTTTTCAGTGCTTTTTATGAGTAAACGCTAAATCCCACCAACACCGAAATATTGCCTGACTTCAAAGGCCCGGAATGAACGATGGCCTTTGATGCAGAACAGGGGGCATATGGGTAGACGCACCAAAAAAGAGCTCAAGCAAGCACCCTTCCAACGGGGAGAAGGCTGAAAAAAATGTCAAGAATGCCTTCCAGTGGCAGAGCTCGCCAGAAAGGATGAAAACCAAGCCTGATCTCAGCAAACTGGAAGCTTTTCTTTTTAACAGGACTGGCTCCTTTCTTTCTTTCTTTCTTTCTTTCTTTCTTTCTTTCTTTCTTTCTTTCCTTTTCTTTCTTTTCTTTTTTCTTTCTTCCTTCTTTTTCTTTCTTTCTCTTTCTCCTTTCTTTCTCTTTTTCTTTCTTTCTCTCTTTTTCTTTCTTTCTTTTTCAGAGTTTTTAAAAATTAGAAAGGACTTTTTAAGGCCTGTCAAGAAGTGCGTTTATTAGCCACCATCTCTCTGATGTATTAAGGCCCATTCATTAAAGGAGGCCTCGATGCTGGCCAAACTCACGCAGAGTAAAACAACACCTCCATGTAAGGCCTCCAGTGATCCTGTCCTCAGATTATGGGCAAACCATCTCTCGGAACGGAGAGGCCTGTGAGTGTCACCTTACATACGTGGGGTTACTGCTGTGTGATGATGTGTCACTTGGTTCCTTAAGAATGTACTAATTCGCTGTCACCTAAGAGTGACATTTCTGGGCCCTAAACGCAGTGGAGCCACTAAGAAAATCTCTCCTTTTCTTAGAGAAAGAGAATTTGTGTTAGAGCTGGGTGAGACTGCTCAGTGGTCTCAGATTAGAAAAGGCATACACAGCCTTCCCAGTGGGTTTGGACAGGGAGGGTGACAGGAGCCCGGGGAAGTGGGAAAACCAGGACAACAGTAACAAAGTCCCCTTCCTGATTCTGCAAACTAGGGGGCTCTGTTTGTCCTCTTTAAAAAAAAATAATGTTTATTTATTTTTGAGAGAGAGAGAGAGAGTCTGCAAGCAGGGGAAGGGCACAAAGAGAGGGAGACACAGAATTTGAAGCAGGCTCCAGGCTGTGAGCTGTCAGTACAGAGCCCGACGCAGGGCTTGAACTCACGAGCCATGAGATCATGACCTGAGCTAAAGTCGGACGCTTAACCGACTGAGCCACCCAGGTGCCCCTCTGTGAGTCCTCTTTAATAACACAGATACACATGTGCATATCAGCAGTGGCCTTCCACAGAAGGGCAGAGAGTGTGATCTGCCAGGATGAGAATGTGTTACTACTGATGTTAGTTACAAGGCCATGCGGGGCGATATTGACATGCAGACAGATACTTATTCACTTTTACCGTGTTTTTAAAATTCTCTACGGTATACCCTGCTCATGCCTGCACCCAGGGCAGACTCCCCTCAGCCCCCCAACATCTGGGTATCACTGCCTTTCGGTCAGTCACATCTTCAGCAAGAATGACCTTAATCTGCCTCCTGGAATAACAGCTACCAGTTACTGAGCACAAGTGCACAACACCGTACTTTTACACACTCTGCCACAGTGTGGAAGGCGCACTGTCTTCACTCTACCGTTGGGTCACGGAGCCGACCCTGGGAGTTTCCCTATGCTATCCAAGGTCACGCAGTAGCCACACAGCAAACAGGGTTATGAACCCAGAACTGCCAAAATCCAAAGCCTCACGGAAACCAAGATTCTCTGCAAGGATGAGATTTAAGGAGGTGAAGCGGGGTGCCTGCTTGAGAAAAGAAGGCTCTTTCTACTGAGGTTTGCTGGTAAAATAGCTCTTCCACCATCCACAGGCAAGCCCTGATTTATAGCATTTGCCCATCTCCCTGGTGTAAATACTCCCGTTGTGGCAGACTTCACTGCACTCAGGCAGAGCTGGGAAGAAATGCCCACAGTCGGCTCTCACGATGAGGGCTGGCTCCCCGGGCCCCTGGCTGCAGCAGTGGGGGTGCCTTCTGAGGATCAGTGTCAGTGTCACGCTCGGGCTGGCATCAGAAACAGAGAAGAGCCGCCGGGGTGAGAGGGCTGCAGAAACAGAGGCTGGAGGGGGTAGGAACGACCTCTCTTCTGCCTTCCTCTCACAGTGGTGACAGGGACCGCCTCCCAGCCTGCAGGGCCTCAGGTCACCAATGTCTACATTACCCAAGGTGCTCTGGTCTGAAGGATCATGTTCCTGTTAAATTCGAGTTGAAATTCTGATGCCCAACTTGATGGTACTAGGGGGTGGGTCTTTGGGAAGGGCTTAGATCATGAGGATGGAGTCCCCATGCATGGGATAAGGGCCCTGAAGGAAAGACACCCTAGAGAGATTCCTTGCCCCTTCTGCTAAATGTGGTTACAGCAAAAAGACAGCCATTTGTGAAGCAGCGGGCCCTCGGCAGGTGCCAAAGCTGCCATCCCCTTGATCTCGGTCTTCCCAGCCTCCAGAACTCAAGAAATAAACTCCTGTTGACTATAAGCCACCCAGTTGATGGCATTTTGTTAGAGCAGCTCAAACAGCCTAAGATACAGGGCTGTGCCCCACATCTGTTACACATGAGGCAACCAGAGGGGACGTGAAAACCCCAGCCACGCGTCCTCCCTGCTTAATGCCCCTCACAGAAAGAGTCCACCCCCTTCCTTGCCCATCAGGTCCCGGGGATCCTGCTCCAACTCCCCATCCGGTGCTCCTGCTGGCTCCCCAGAGCCCCCTGCTCCCTCCGGCCACAGCCTTCCATATGAAGTGCTCCTTCTGTGCCCGACCCTTAGTCTGCAGTCCCCAGCCCCATCACTAGCCAGGAAAGCCTTCCTTGCACCCCTGCCGGGCTCAATTCCCCCTGAGCTCCTGGCACAGTACCAAGAGAGTAGGGTTCTCCTGAGATGTATTCTGGACAGATACGATCTTTCTGGAGAAAGCTGATATTTGCTAGAACCTAAAAGGCAAGAAGGAAGCAGCTATGCGAGGTGAATGCTTGCTGGATGAAAGAACGTGGAAGCTCTCCAAGCTGGAGCCGCCATCCAAGAAAGTTCTGCCAAACAGGAGTTGCCTTCATATGCCAACACCTGGCCCCACACCTGTGCACGGTAGGTGCTTCAGCAGTGTTTTGCTGAAATGACATGAGCAATCAGACCTTATCACTGGCCACAGTAATAAGGCTGTGGCCTGGCACGATGTAGTCGAGGTTCGGCCACTTCCACAGGAGCCTTTTTACGTCTTTTACGGGTTGGTCTTTTGCAACTTCGCATTATGAAAAATTTCCAAGAATATCACAGGAGACAGGCATATTCTCACTGCGCAGATCCTTCAGCCGTTAACATTTTGAACACGCTTTAAAATGAGTTGCCTTTGGGGTGCCTGGGTGGCTCCGTCAGTTGAGTGTCTGACTCTTGATTTCGGCTCAGGTCACGATCCCAGGGTCGTGAGATCGAGCCCTACATCAGGCTTTATGCTGGCAGCTCAGAGCCTGCTTGGGATTCTCTGTCTCCCTCTCTCTCCGCCCCTCCCCTACTCATGCTCTCTCTCTCTCTCTCTCAAAATATATAAACTTAGAAAAAAAAAAAAAGGGTTGTCGTTTCCACCATGGAAGGAGGACAGCATTTTTTGAGATTTAGCCATGGGAAGGACACTACTAAGAACACAGAGATGTAGACAGGATCTTCCTGAGTGAGACAGGAGGTGACGAGGATTCCTGGGGAGGGTTTGGCTGGTCTGCAAAGTTCGGGCCTGTGTGTGGGTGTTTGCGATCATGTGCACGTGTGAGTATGTGTGTGCCAGTGCATGGGCGTGCCCCCCCCCGCCCGGGGGGGGGGATTGTATGCATGTATGAGTGACTATGTGCAATGTGAGCGTGCAATCGTGGGTATGCGTGCAAATGAGTGTGTGCATGTGAGTGTGAATGTGTGTTTGAACACACAGCATGGGGGGAAGAGCCATAGGGGCCGTTCTGAGGCATCTGGGCCCCAGCAAGGAAAGGGTTTAAGACAGAAGGCTGGGTATTTGCTGGAAGGTTCCAGTGCTTTCTCTGCAAATGTGCACTTGAAACTACTACACACGTATGAGCTAAAGCTTCACCCGCCTCCGGCACCTAGTCTGCCACTGTCTTGGGGGGGATGCTGGGAACCAGAGGCAGAAACCAAGAGAGAACAAAATGCAGAAAATAAAACCAACGCGTTGGGGTGACAGTGCAGAATTTTTAAAGTGATCATGCCTTCCTATCATCATTTGGTTAAATATTGTTGCTATAACTTTGCTTTCTTTTCAGCAGGTTATTTCGGGGTCGCCAGGAGCCCCTAATGCGGCAGTTACCCATGGGTTCTCTCAAGCAGGCTCTCCACACCTGCACGTGTGACCTCCTTGCTGAAAGGCAGTTACTTGTGGTCTTTAACGGGTTAATCACAAAACTGATGTGCGTTACATGTGGCACAAGTCAACTGAAAAAAGCGCGAGAATCTGAGTAAGAAAGGCTGCTCCAGCCAGAATCTCCTCCTCTTTCTTTCCCCTTAGGGAAAGACACTGTGTGCGGAGCCCCTGCTGTAGGTGAAAGCGGAAGAAGCAAGTTCAGAAAGATCTAGAACCAGGGGCTCCAGCAGCAAATGTGCCCCCCGGCCCTCTCGAGAGAACAACAAACAGCCCAGCGACTGATGGTGAGCTTCCTTTGAGTAAGGAAAACCCAGTTCCCCATTTTGGGGAAAGGCAACTTCAGCCTCTTGCCACCCCTGATACCTTTAACATGGGTACAACTGGGTTTTACATATTACGAAGGATTTAAAAACAATTTTTTTTCAACGTTTTTATTTATTTTTGGGACAGAGAGAGACAGAGCATGAACGGGGGAGGGGCAGAGAGAGAGGGAGACACAGAATCGGAAACAGGCTCCAGGCTCTGAGCCATCAGCCCAGAGCCCGACGCGGGGCTCGAACTCACGGACCGCGAGATCGTGAGCTGGCTGAAGTCGGACGCTTAACCGACTGCGCCACCCAGGCGCCCCAAAAACAATTTTTTTTGTTTATTTATTTTTGAGAGACAGACACACAGACCACAAGCAGGGGAGGGGCAGAGAGAGAGGGAGGCACAGAATCGGAAGCAGGCTCCAGGCTCTGAGCTGTCAGCACAGAGCCCCACATGGGGCTCAAACCCATGGACCACGAGATCATGACCTGAGCTGAAGTCGGCCGCTTAACTGACTGAGCCCCCCAGGTGCCCCTACAAAGGATGTTTTGAATTCAAGGATTTGAAGAATGCACATGGATATATGGCTGCACACACACGTGCACACACACACCACAAAAGAATAGGTAGGACGTCTCTATTAACAAGTTTCCAAGTTGGACAAACACCCGCTGGCGGAGAATTTCCAACAGGGGTGTGAATAAAACAGGAAATCCACACCCCAAACACACTGTGCGCGCCCCCTCGCCCCCCGCCGCCCCAGACGTTACTTACTAGGCTGGCATTTAAAGGAGACCAGGAGGTATTTACTGCTTCCTGGACAAAGGTCAGGTCCAAAAACACGGCTATTGACCAGGAGATGGCAGGCACGCTGGTTCTGGCATTCATCCAGCACCTTCTAAAATGAGGGGGGTAGAAAAGGGATAGGCTTGAAAACCACACACGGTGTCTGTGAGACCCCACACCCGGGCTGCTCTGGGCTCTGACAAGGAAAGGACACCTGTCTGCTTGGCCTGGGGGCCACACAAAGAACCTTCGAGCTGCTATGAGCTGTGTCTGAGACCGCACACCTGTGCATTGACCAGGTCGGCTGCCTGTCTCCCTGTCTGTCCCAGAGCAAGAAACCCGACCCTACGGCGCCAGGCCCCCACCAGAAGCCCAGCCTCCAGTCTTCCTCGAGTGGAAGTGTTGCCGATGGTTTTGACCGAAGTGCTGCATCATGGAGGCTTCGGGAAACACGAGCGAGACCCGAGGACCTCAGAGCGTGGGCCGGACGGGACGCGGAGGTCCCTTCCGGAAGGCGTCCCCCTGGCTGCAGAGCTGAGAGAGCCCTGTGAGGACCAGGAATCACGGCCGTCGCTCTACGTCCTTAGAAACGGCTGAGCACAGACCACAGAGAACTCAGCATTTGGGGGAGGCCTTGGGAGACCCAACCCAAAACAGGCCAAACAATAAACATTAGAAAACTGATTCTTCCCACCCTTGCCAACCTGGAGGGCACAGGGCCTACTTGTTCCCCGGGGGGTAATTTTCCTCGTTGGAAAACTCAGGCCTTCTGTTGCTCATTTGGCTCCAAAGTTCTCCTTCAAATCTCTCTTTCCCTCATTTTTTTCCCAGACAGTGCACACTCCTTTGTGAATGAATCTGTTCCGTGCAAAAGCCCATGAATCGCCTTGTGGAGGGTCACAAAGGGGCCTCACTGCCGTGCTTCCTGTCTCCAAACACAACAGGCGCTGCCTGTAACACACAGGTCTTACACTTAGTGTCCGCTAACAGGATACCCAGCACACTATACGTTTCCCAAGAATCTACTCACTACTGTTGGACTCAATTTACCTCAGCTTCACGAGCCTGTCCGAATCGCCACGCTCTCATAGTACATTATGGAATATCTCCATGAAGGCTGCTGGCCTTACCAGGCATCCCCTGTCACCTCAGGGGCCCGGCAGAGGTGGTATGAAATCTGGAAAAATGCCCAGGGGACCCCCCCCCCCCGCAGAGGACGGGACACACCCTCATGGCTGAGGGTCACCGTGCAATGACTCAGCCCTTGTGTGGCTCCACGTGATACAACCACAGAGTGGGACCCGAGGCGGGGCTGTTCCCAAAGGGGGTTAACAGCTGAGAGATGCGTGGGGCGGGGGGATTTCCTGTCGGCATTCAGTCACGGGCCAGACCAGCTGAGGTGCCCCTGGGTGGACATCGACACCTGTTCTCTCCAGCCTTAGGTGACCTCACTCTGTGGAGGAGGAAGCACTTTGCCTCAGTTCCCAAACGCGGCCCAAAAGACACAAAATAAAGGATCTCTTGCCTTCTGGATGAAAGAGCAGTGCACGGGGGATGTTTCTGGCAAACAAACCTTCTGAACAACAATTGGAGTCGTGTTCACAAATGCTAACTTGTCTGCCTGGCTCTGGAAACACCCGCTTCCCTCAGGCCTGCCTGGCAGAGCCAGGCACCATATTGGAGAGCGAGGGTGGTGCCCATTCTTTGCAGCTCCAAGGTGCCAGGGGTTCACATTTCCACAAAGCAGGGCACCCGTCCTATGGCACCGGCCGGTGTTCTTTTTATGCACCTAGGAGAGCGGCAGCCGGCCTGGGGGGCCGGGAAGGGTGGGCAGGGCAGTTGGGGTAAGGACTGGGGGCAGGCCAACCAGGATACAGCTCCTGGAGTGGCACCCCAGGGACAGGACTGGGGGCTGGGTGGGGCACCCACAGGAAGTAGCTGCTGGTCTCCAGAAGCAACAGGTGGCCTCTCCTCGGGGGGTGTGGAAGCCACGTCCAGGGATTTCACTCAAACACATCCTTTTGGCTACTCGGCTGGTATCTTTACCCATCACATGGCCATTCTAGATACTAAGACGCTTGGAATGGAAGCAGTAAGTGGTGTAAGAAATAGAAAAATCCTTATGTTATCACATGAGTTTGGCTTCTCCTCTTTGGACCTCAGAGAGAGCTACACGGCATGAACACCAATTCCATCAGTCCTTAGTCTTCCTAGAAAATGTATCTTTCCCCCCCATTTCCTGCGGCTGAAAAACAGTTGAAGAGCCATGAATAGTCTAAAATCACCACTGAAATACTAGTCTTGACCTCTTCCTATACCAAATCTTTTGCTAATCCCAACCCTCCCCCCCAAAAGAAAGTCTTAGCTGCCCCCTCCCCAAATTCCTGGTACTATATGACAGAAAAGCAAATCAGCAGAGGCCGCCCAAAGAAGCTCGAAACAAGAATAATGTCATTATCTACAACTGGAGAAGAAAACCATTTTTTTTTTTTTAAAGACCATGATTGCTATTTCCCTTCCTCGAGAGCATTCTCTGAGAAGTTGGTCAGGATCTCGACTGTCTGCCTTACACAGCCCCCCGTGGTTTCCACTAAAGGAGTCACGTTCCCTCTCTACTGGGGTATCGACGGGACAGGTGGTCCTGGAGGGTGAAGGCCAGCACGACTGTACTTTGCTTTACGGCAGTGAGGGGTACGTCTCTGAATAAATTCGTAAGGCAAGCGTATTAAGGGAGCTCCCCAGCAGGCAGGAATCCCATTTAGTCTTGTTTGGTGAAGAACCTTTTCCAGAAGCAAATAATAGCGCACTTGTGAAACCGGTGATTTGTATAAGTTGGGGTTTTCGTGGATCAGGTTTGCTTTGAGCAAACTATATAATCACAAGCATATATACAGAGAGAGAGAGAGAGAGAAGGAGAGAGAGAGGACCATTTTATCATCCTAAAACATCTACGAAAGATAATACCTGCAGTGTTGTGGGTGCCACGCAGGTTAAGCTGTCTTCCCTCTGGGAGGCAGGCTGCTGGGTGCTACACATTTGGTAATCTTGCCCATAGAAGGCCGACTGGACACTTATCGTAGAATGCCGAGGGCACTGTAGATTCAAATGGTCCCCATCACAGGCATAGGCAGTGTGGTTCTGCAGGAGTTTGGTTAGGTAACCTGGAAAATATTCAGCTGGGTTACAAGAGGCCCAGGAACTCACCACTCCTTCACAGATGTCCAAGCAAGAGGACCTCAGCTCCCCAGGGGAAGGGCTGGTCAGTCCGGAAGACGCCGGGTGGAGCTTCCCTAGCGGCTGCTGTGGAGAAGACCCCAAACGAGGCTGGTAGCTGAGACTAATGGAGCCAGGTGCCAGTTTTCCCATCTGGGTTGTAAACTTTGGTCTGGAGTGGCCCATGGGAAGGCTGGGAGGGCTCTTTCCCTTTGGGATTGGTCAAGGGCCAAGAAATCCTGAAGCATCTCCATAAAACGGGAAAAAATTCCAAGTGGGGGTCCCTTGGGCATGTAGTTGCCTGTCCCTGGAGAGATTCGGGCTCCGTGATCTCCCACTTGCTAGGCCAGGCCTTCCTGGAGCGAGGGGATGCCATTTTACTTCGGGGTAACCACTCCTGGGCCCTGGACAGGAAAGCAGGGCAGCCTATGTGGGGTAAGGGCCTGCTCTGGGGCCAGGGGAAAGGGAGAGATGGTGGGGCTCTGTTGCAGGTTGAACAATGTCCCACCTCAAATTCATGTTCACCAGGAACCTCAGATGTCACTTATTTGGAGACAGCCTCCTCGAAGATGTAATTAGTTAAGATAAGGCCATACTGGAGGAGGCTGGCCCTCGATTGGTGTGACTGATGTCCTTATAAGAAGAGACAGAGGGAAGACAGCCTTGTAGAGACTGGAGTGATACATCCACAAATCAAGGAACCCCCAAGGATTGCCTGCAACCACCACAAGCTGGAAGAGGCAAGGAAAAGATTCTGCCTTAGAACCTTCAGAGGCACCAATGGCCCCATGACACCTTGACCTCCACTTTCCAGCCTCCAGAGGGAATGAATCTCTGCCATCTTCAGCCACCTCAGCCTCCGGTCCTTTGTTACAGCAGCCCCAACAAACTCATACAGGCTCCGGGTCCCAGCCTCCCTGGCTCCTTCTCCAAGCAGACTGGACGAGCCACGGGGCCCCGGGCTCTGAGGAGCTGTGTGTGTGACCTGGCAGGCGCGGGAGGCCTGGACCACTTCTCAGAAAGGAGGAAGGAAGCTTCATCTGAAATGTAGATTCCTTTCCTCCTTCTCACACCTCATGAGGTCAGTCGCAAGGCAGCTGGGAGGGAAGCCAGGGACTTTCTGGTGAGGTGTGTGGGAGACGGCTTTGGCAGGCCTCAGCCTCGGAGGGGGCGGAGGGGGTGTGGAGGAAGGCAGTTTCAGAACTCCCCAATTCCCACGCAGATGGCCCGTGCTTAAGTTATTCCTGTTTAAGTTTCATAATCCTCTCAGGCCACGGTTCTCTGCAAAGGGCACCCACTCCAGCTCCCCGGCCTTCCCTGAAAGTCACAGTGAAAGGGACCCTGACGTCTGCCACAGGATGGTCACACTCACCAACCGGAAGGTGAAGAGGGGGACTGTTCGACATGTAACCCAGACCTGAGGCCTCTCACCACCATCCCCTTTTTCCTTCCCACCCTTGAAAGCGGCCATAAATAGGCCAAGAAGGCCACTTGGAGAAGCAGACCCTAGCTTGAGCCGCAAAACTGACATCAGGCACGGGGAGGGGGTGAAGGGGGGGGTGGAGTCAGGGTCCTGCTGGTTAGAACAATGTCATCACTCTCACTGTGCTCCCCTCCAGGCACGGAGAGAGGAGAGGCAGAGACCCCCTCGGTGGTCCCACGGCCACAAGTTGGCATCTTCCTGCAGTACACAGGCGGGCCGTGGTAAAGCCATGACTTGGGAAAGTTCCAGCCCCTTTGTGGGATCTCAGCTCCCCATGATGAGCCACACCAGGGAACCCAGAGTCGCCCTCATGCTGCCCCAGGCTAGCACCCACCCCGAAGCTCCCCAGGCTGCTACGCCCTCCCTTGTGTCTCTTGAAACTCATCATTAAAACTTTCTTGCCCATCACCACGCCATTCCCCAGGACCACACTGGGTGACCAGCTGACTAAAATGTTACATCAATCCTGGGAGCAAGACTTCGGCTTAATGGTTTGTCCCAACAGGCCCTGCGTGACTCTAGCTAGATGAAGGAAACGACAGGGCCGGCGGGTGTTGGAGGCACAGGCCAGAAGGGGCCTGGGTCCCAGATTCATGGAGAAGATTCATGGAGGCTTCTCCACAAACTGTTACACGAGTGGGAAAGAAACTTCCGCTGTTTGGACCATTCTTCTATTTGTCATGCAGTCTGTCCCCAGTAAACAGAACTTGATCTCCGGGGGACCATTTACATCAAAACATGATGTGAGTGGGGTGTGGTGGCCGGAGCCCCCGCGCATGCCATATTTGTATTCTGACGGTGCTCTGGAGGCAGAAGCTCAAGGCAGAGGATGGCCTCTCAAGGCCTTCCGGGCCCTTCTGCACTTTGAGCGGGGAGAGGACTGTGTCAGTCCTAACAGCATGAGATACAAAGAAGACACTTCAGCGGTAACATCTGCTCTATGCTCAGTCCAGTTCCTTCTTCAAAAACCTATGCCTGTGTCTGCCCATGATTCAGCACTAAAATGAAGTGAGCGAGGAAACTGCAAACAGACACGGAGGGAACTTAAATGCACATGAGTAGCGAAAGAAGCCAGGCTGAGGAGGCTACAGGCTGTATGATGCCAACGACATGACATTCTGGAAAAAGTACAACTACAGAGATGGTAAAAAGATCGGTGGTTATCAGAGGTTTGGGGGAGGGAGGGCTGAACGGGGGGATCTCAGAGGATTTCAGGGAGATACAGCTACCCTGCAGGACACGAGCGTGATGGACGCTTGTCAAAACCTCCAGACTATTGGGGCGCCTGGGTGGCGCAGTCGGTTAAGCATCCGACTTCAGCCAGGTCACGATCTCGTGGTCCGTGGGTTCGAGCCCCGCATCAGGCTCTGGGCTGATGGCTCGGAGACTGGAGCCTGTTTCCGATTCTGTGTCTCCCTCTCTCTCTGCCCCTCCCCCGTTCATGCTCTGTCTCTCTCTGTCCCAAAAATAAATAAACGTTGAAAAAAAAAACAAAAACCTCCAGAACACTTGTCATTATACACAGTCAAAACCTACAGCACACAACACCCAGAGTGAACCCAGACGTAAACTATGGACTGTGGTCCATACTGTGATGTGTCAATGTGGGTTCGTCAATTGTAACACACGTGCCACCCTGATGGGGAACATGGAGAGTGCGGGGGGTGGGGGTGGCACTCAGGGCGTTGTCTGTGTGGGCACAAGAGGTATCTGGGAACTCTCTGTAGCTTCCACTCAACTTTGTCCTGAACCCGAAACTGTTCTACAAATAAATGTCTATTTAAGGGCGCCTGGGTAGCTCAGGAGAGTAAGCATCCAACTCTAGGTATCAGCTCGGGTCGTGATCTCACGGGATCGTGAGTTTGAGCCCTGCCTCAGGCTCTGTGCTAACAGTTCAGCGTCTGCTTTAGAATCTCTCTCTCCCTCCCTCTCTCTGCTCCTCTGTGCTTGTGCTCCTGTCTGTCTGTCTCTCTCTTTCTCTTTCTCAAAAATAAATAAGTAAACATTAAAAAAAGAAGAAGAAAGTCTACTTAAAAGAAAATAATTAAAACCACTTGGGCTTCCCCAGAATAGTGTCATCTTTGGGAGACGAGGGGTTGGCTACAGGGAGGGGTCATGAGGGTGAGCTGGCCAAGCTCTTTTCTGGATCTGAAAGGTGGATACATGTTTTACTTTGTGAAAGGTCACCCAGCTATGCACTAGGGATAGGTGCATTTTTTTGTAGGTAGGTAAATAAAACTGCTTAAAAAAACCTTTCTCTGACCAATGCTTTTAAGTAAATGAAGGACATCTAGACTCCATGGAGCCTCCGGAGGATCAATAGAACAAGGGCAGTGGAGAGATACCATGTTCTACAGCCAACCACAACCACACCACATGCTACTCGAGAGTGACGGCAGGAGATGCCCCCGAGGACAGACCACTGGCCCTCAAACCTTGGGGTCAGGATCCCTCCACATTTGCATCCCACACCTCCTTCTGACTGGCCCACTGTGTCAGAAGAGGTCAGGAAGAAGGACAAGTTACAAGTATCTAGTGTTTTCAGCAACAAAGAGGACATCACGGACCTTCTTGAGAGGCATTTGGGATGGTGGGTGGGGACAGAAGCCACTGAGCAGAAAGTTGAGGAAAGTTGAGGAAATCCAAGATGGTTCATGTGGTAGGAAGCATAGTGGCCTCCCAATGATGTTCACAGGCCCCCTCCTGGGAACCTGTGAACATGTTACCTTACAGTGGAAAAGGGACTTTGAGGTTGTGATTAACTTAGAAATCTGGAGATAGGGAGGTGATCCTACAGGACCTGAGAGGCCCAATAGAATCGCCAAGGTCCTTATAAGACGGCCAAAGTGGATAAAAGATGTGGCAATGGAACCAGATTTTGAAGCGATAGAGTCATGAGCTGAAGAATATAGGTGGTTTCTAGAAACTGGAAAAGGCAAGAAAACAGACCGTGCCCTGAAGCCTCCAGAAGAACGCAGCACTGTTCACACCTTGTTTTTAGACCTCCGATTTCCAGAACTGTAAGAAAATACATCTGTGCTGTTTTCAGCCACCAAGTGTGTGACGATTTGTTATAGCAGCCATAGGGAACAACACAGTTTATACGGATGACTCTTGCAACAACTTGGTAAAGGGGAGGAGAGACACAGGGCTAAAGTTATAAGAACTGATGTCCGGGGACAGATTTTTAAACAACTGTGATTGAGTTAAAGCTGGGAGAGACCTATGCACGTACGTGTGTGTGTGTGTGTGTGTGTGTGTGTGTGTGTGTGTGTGTAAATACATATGTAGACGAGCCCTAGGTCATGTGCAAATTATATTTCTCGCTGTGGGTTGAGGTGGAACACATTTGAAAGTGGGTCCTAGCAGGAGGGCTCTTGAAATGTTGGAGCATGGGCTCCAAGCTAAATATAGGGCAGGAAATGAGCACAGGAGAGGCCCAGGGGAATAGAGGTCTGCTCAGATCCAGCAAGCTCAAGGTGGGTGCAACCACACCAGCAGGCTGCAGAGGCAGGAGGTTGTGCCCCATGTGATTTCGAGGCGGCGCACTTGGAGACCATGGCGATGTCCAAGAAGTGGCCATGGAAGAGGGTGTGAGAAGCGGGTGGAGGGGAAGGTTGCTAGAAACGAGGATGCCCCCTGGACCAGGCATCTCCCAGGATACAAGTAGGAACTGTGACGGAGCAGGAGCCTGCTGCCAAGGTTGCTCTTAAACAAAGGGCAGATGACAGATGACCCACTCCCAGTCCAATGCCTCTTCCAGTGTCCTGTCCAGCTTCCAGTGAGCACGTGCACTCTTCCCATTGCGTTAGGCAGAGTCAACACATTGCTTAGTGTTTCGGTCCATTCAGGCCTCCTATGACAAAACACCACAGATGGGGTGGCTTATAAACAACACAAATTCATTTCTCCCAGGTCTGGAGGCTGGAAAGCCCCAAATCAAGGCACCAGCATGATTGCATTTTAGTTAGGCCCCTCTTCCTGGTTCAGAGCGAGCCCCATCTTGCTGTGCCTTCACATGGTGGAAGGGGCCATGGAACTCTGTAGCATCTCTTTTATAAGACATTAATGGGATTAGGGAATCTCATTCATAAAGACTCTACCCTAATGACCTAATCACCTTCCAAAGGCCCTACCTCCTAATACCATCACCTTCGGGGGTTAGGATTTCAACATATGAGTTTTGGAGGGACACAAACATTCAGACCATAGCACTTCGCTTCTCTATACCTTGGTTTCTTAGCTGGTTCAAATGAGATCCCTTTTAAAGAATGACTACTGGGGCACCTGGGTGGCTCAGTCAGTTAAGTGTCCTATTTCGGCTCAGGTCATGATCTCACAGTTCCTGAGTTCAGGCCCTGCTTCGGGCTCTGTGCTGACAGCTCAGAGCCTGGAGCCTGCTTCAGATTCTGTGTCTCCCTCTCTCTCTGCCTCCCCCATGCTCGCACTCTGTCTCTCTCTCCAAAATAATAAATAAACATTAAAAAATTAAAAAAAAAAAGAATGACTACTAACGCAACTTTTTGTTGGCAGTTCTCTCTGGATTGAATGCCCCATCATTCCGGATCAATCAAAAATGCTTTATTTCTTAATACGCTCACCCAGAGCTCTTGGTCTAGCTCTATGTGTGTGGGCAAATATTTACTATCCTGAAAGAAAGCAGAAGAGCAAACTGTTAGGAAATCGGTCTTTGGAGCCTGGCCTGGCCTGGAAATACTCTGTTGTTCCTTGTTCATTTCACATAGTTCAGGGGCCAAGGTACAGCTTCTGTTTAACTCCAAGATCCTCTCCTGATGAATCTTTCCACTGTGTCACCAGCAGAAGCTTCCACAGCCATGGCCATGGCTAGAACTTTCCTTAAGGGATCATCTTGCAAGGCCTGGCTGGGTTGGGCAAATCTTAGAGTAGTTTAGATAAAGGCTTTTATGTGTTCCTTATTTTAAAGGCAGATGGATAATTCACAGGGAAGGAACCCCCTAAGAGTGCCAGGAGCTCTCCTCTGTCTTCAGAAAGACAAGGGGAAGTCGCTCCTGAAGATTCTCATTCCCGTCACTTTTACGAGGAAAAGCCATTTCTACAGAAAAACTCCAGTGACCAGAGAATGACCAGAATGCAAATGACCAATTTTCAAGGAATCGTGGGTGTGTCCCAAAGTGTCCCGTGAGAGGAACAAACATTACGTGGGGGAGAAAGGAGGTTAAGTTATAGCAAAATGAGGCTGGGATGTACGGGTTAAAACAAGGCAAACACAGGTCTTTCCCTGAAGCATTTCCCAGGGCCACAGACAGGTCCATGTGCACTGCAACTGGCAAGCATCGGAAAGAGGAGACAGAATCCCTCGCACACAATTGACCAGCCCTCCATTTTTTTTTTTTTTTATATTAAGCATCTGAAGGTTATTGTTAAACGCATCACTCTTAAGGAAACGGTTAGAGTTCCGTAAAACACAGTGCAGACGGCTACATCTAACTTGGATGATTTCAGAAGGTAGTTCAGAATCCCATACGCCTGCGGAAACCTCCATGCGGCATCTGTGGGTGGGGAGGAGGAGCCGGAGCCGAGGGTTAAAAGCCTGAGAGCAGGGTTCAAAGCGGAATTAAGCTGTGTGACTGTGGCCATCACCTCTCAGCCTCGGTGTCCTCGTGTTTTGCGGTGAGGCTCAGATGATGTGAAAGGCATAGCATCTTTATCGGCCATAATCCACGGCACCTGTCCGGGGTATCACTATTGGACTGTCAACCTTGAAGAACACGAATTTACACAGAGCTCTTTGGCGGCTTGCAAATCAAACCGCACTTCCGTAAGCCCCGTCTGCTCTGAGCACTGATGGTAGGACGGTCAACTCACAGACAAGCGCATGGCCCAGTAGCCACCCTCATGGTCCAGAAATGTCACTGCTGTGCTTGAAGGGAAAGGGAAGTTTGCCTTCTTTCCTGCCTGCCTTCCTTTCCATCTTTCCTTCATCCCTCCCTCCCTTTCTTCTGTTCTTCTCTTTCTCTCTCCTCTCTCTCCCTCTTTCCTTTTTTTTTTTTTTTTTTAATAATTAAGGTTTACAGGGGCGCCTGGGTGGCGCAGTCGGTTAAGCGTCCGACTTCAGCCAGGTCACGATCTCGCGGTCCGTGAGTTCAAGCCCCGCATCAGGCTCTGGGCTGTTGGCTCAGAGCCTGGAGCCTGTTTCCGATTCTGTGTCTCCCTCTCTCTCTGCCCCTCCCCTGTTCATGCTCTGCCTCTCTCTGTCCCAAAAATAAATAAATGTTGAAAAAAAAAATTAAAAAAAAAATAATTAAGGTTTACAGCATTACGATATTTAGAACAGGCCAAACGAGCTGCAAATCCTTCCTCCTTTCTTTTCTGAAGTCAGAGCCCTCCGCAAGAGTCCAGGTTTCCCAAGGGCTAATGGCTGCCTGAGTCACTCTAAGCACAGGATATAAGTACATTAGTTGCTGGCCCCACATCCGTGTGCTAAAGTCCCCCAATCACCAGGGGCCAATTTCCCAATCTTCCTTCTGGGAAGAGAGTAGAATTCAATTATATTGCCCTTGCTACCGCCCCCCCTTCCCCACTTATTTAATAAAGCAGCACCTTCCAATCCATTAATGCCTTAGATAAGCGACTACACCCTTTTATTCACAAATACTCAAAGGTGTTTCTACATGTTTGAAGTTCTTTTCCAGAAAAGGGTTTTTTTTTTTTCTTTTGTGTTTGTGAGTATGTTTGGAGAATTGGCAAAAGCAGGAGCAGGGGGCAGTCCACGTGGCTTTAGGGCAATGAGTCAGTGTTTCTAAGAGCGCAGGAAAGGCCCCACAACGGATAAAGGGCTCATGACTGGGCACCACACACCCCAGAGCATTATGATCAAAAAGTAAAGTCAGTTTCAGTGATTTCTCTAGGCCTGGGTCTGGCACGAGAAGGTTGAACCTGGAGGTTGATGATGAAGAGAACGACAGCCTTCAGTATATATCTTCGATGTTTGAGGAGGAATCACAAAGGTGAGGGACCACCAAGGGTGGCCCTCTGATGTAACAGTGAGCTCAGATCCTGGTCCCAAAACAGACCAGGGGAGGACAGAAGGGGACCTGAGGGTCTCCATGGGGTAGCAACCATACATTTTCTTCTGAGCACATGAGAGGAGCACGTTTCCCAGTCCTGCTGTGTGGGCCAGGGGAAAGCTCTGACCAATGGAAACAGGGCAGAAGGGATGTCGGCCACTTGCAGATATGGCCCTTGAGACTCCACGTGACCCTCCACTCCCTCTTTCTCCCCATCTGCTGTCACATGTGGAAGACAGAAGGGACAGGGACAGCTCTGAGGACCCAGAAGATGGGGGAGGCACAAGACGGAAGGAATCTGGGTCCCTGAATGACTGCATGAACACAACCTCCCCCTTTTCGAATTACACTGGACCACAGCATGAGCAAGAACTAATCCTTTATTCTGTTATTCCCCTGGGGTTGGGAGTTTCAGCAGCTAGCCCTACCCTGTCTAGTACTCCAGCATTCTGTCAACTGGTACCTGTGTTAAGTAGAAAGCCGGCAGGACTTTGAGTAGTACCGAAAACTTTTGTCAAACACAACCCCCGTTGGTTTGTGACGGTGGTGCTGACACCATTTCACATGACCTTCAATTTCACCAGAGGAGTCATTTCTTTGAGTCAAGACCTTGCAACCGAAAATCTACAGTTGAAGTGAGTTAAATTACTAAGGAGTTCAAAGGGATTAGCGGCCTCATTAATCAGTCATCGCTCTTCCTAATAACACTGACTTTTAAAAAGTGCGTTAGCAAAAGTGGAAAGCAGAGGCCAGTGGGCTTCGATGGAATGCTCCCGAGGCAGGCGTTATGGCCATGTACTTGTTTCTACACACTGATGGATATGAGAGAGGGAGTGGGGCCATGACCATGCTGGGCGATGCCCTTGAATCCGAAGTGCCACAGCACAGAGGTGGCGGCCATGGGCTATGAATACGGGGAATTCATGCTCTGAGCCCTCTCAGATCAGATGTGTCTGGGCATACTGAGAACAACCTCTTTAGACCTCTGTTTCATCATCTGTAAAACCAAAGACTTATGCCTGCTTTATACTGCTGATGTGCAAGGGATAAGAAATAGTAGGGCACCTTTTAGGGTGGCTGGCACGTCATTTTTTCTTCCCTGAGGAGAGCATGAGTGTACCAGAAGGAAACTAGATTGGCAGTCCAATCTCTGGAAGAGGGAGCCCCAAAGAAGGCAAGGGTGAAGAACATGCCAAATCCACATCTTCTCAGCTTAATCTTGGTTTGGTCGTGGGACAAAGACTTCTGTAAAAACATAGATGATGTTTGCTTTCATATTTTATGAACTTGTCCCCAAACAGGTCCTCATCTCCATGATGGGGGGATTATGCCATTAATCATTTACCCTCAGGTTTCAGGGGCTGTAGAAGCATTTTTCATAGAAAGAGCACAATGTTCCCGAAAAAGAACCAGCTAAGTGCTAATTTGGGTAAGTTTGCTGGCCTCTGATAAGCCACTTTTCAGCCTACAAATTCCTGAAGTCCAGTTTCTCACCACTTTTTCTCAAGAGTCACCTATTCTCTTTGAGAACAAAACTGCTTGGTTTTCTTAAAGCCAAATAAAAATACTACTTCCAAAGGCATAAACCCTACAAACTTTCCACGTTTGCTTGTGCTTCCAAGAGCATTTAAAGGAATCCCAAAGTGGATTGATTAAAATACTCTCCAATTTCTTTTTTTTTTTTTTCAACGTTTATTTATTTTTGGGACAGAGAGAGACAGAGCATGAACGGGGGAGGGGCAGAGAGAGAGGGAGACACAGAATCGGAAACAGGCTCCAGGCTCTGAGCCATCAGCCCAGAGCCCGACGCGGGGCTCGAACTCCCGGACCGCGAGATCGTGACCTGGCTGAAGTCGGATGCTTAACCGACTGCGCCACCCAGGCGCCCCAATGCTCTCCAATTTCTAATCAGACATGGAGTAAATAACCCTGGAAATTGACTGCTGACCTTTCTCGAGGAAAGTGACAAGCCGATCCCTGCCCCACCACCACAGGCTCTCTCTGTGACTTTTCTGCCTTGAGAAAGAAACATCCTGGGGTGCCTGGGTGGCTCAGCCGGTTAAGCATCCGACTTCGGCTCAGGTCACGATCTCACGGTTTGTGGGTTCGAGCCTGGCGTTGGGCGCTGTGCTGACAGCTCAGAGCCTGGAGCCTGCTTCGGATTCTGTGTCTTCCTCTCTCTCTGCCCCTTCCCTACTCACGCTCTCTCTCTCTGTCTGAAAAATAAAATAAAAACATCAAAAAAAAATGAAATGAACATCCTGTATCTTTCAAGAGTGCCACACGGCACCCCATCACCCTTTTCCAGGCACACAGAGACTTTCCCATTGCCCCTGGACTTTGAATCCTTGTAGCCAACGCTAGGTTCTGAGAGTCCCTTACCCAGTTCTCTTTTACCTTGTTACTTTTTCTCCCAACACCTCCCTGTTTTCTCTTCCTACACACCCACCTTCTGATTCATCAAGCCCCACACTTTCCCCTTTAGAATAGAATTATTTATGTTCTTAAGTGGATTTTTCTGTGTGGCTGCCCACGTGTAAATTCACGTGTATGGATTTCAGATCCCCGGGCCTGGCTAAGCACTTGTCTACACATGTCAATCCACTGTATGACTTTCCAAACAAAAAAATCTAAAGTCCTTATGTGACTGGGCGCCCTTCTACCGCTGTGACCTCATCTCCTACCGTTCTCCCGTAGGCTCTGGCCGCAGTGGTCTTGTTTCTTAAAAACGCCACCCAAGGTCCCACCTCAGGATTTTGCTTTGGCTGCTCTTTTTGCCTGAAACCGTCTTCCCTCCAAATATATGCTCCCCCCGGCCCCCTGCCCATCCCGCCCTTTGTTCAGACGTAACTTTGGGAGATAGGCCTTCCCCGGCTGCTGTGCAAAACAGCACACCCCCTGCCCCGTCACCCCTGATTCTGCTTATTTCACAGCACAGACACCTGTCGTGGTGTCTCCCCTTTCAACCCGTAAGTCGGGATTTTGTTTCATTTATTGCTCTGTCTCTAGCACCCGGAAGGAATCTGACATATAGCAGGAGGGCGAGGAATCGCGTTTTTATTTTTTATTTTATTTTTTTTATTTAAAAAAAAATTTTTTTTTCAACATTTATTTATTTTTGGGACAGAGAGAGACAGAGCATGAACGGGGGAGGGGCAGAGAGAGAGGGAGACACAGAATCCGAAACAGGCTCCAGGCTCTGAGCTGTCAGCCCAGAGCCCGACGCGGGGCTCGAACTCACGGACCGCGAGATCGTGACCTGGCTGAAGTCGGCCGCTTAACCGACTGCGCCACCCAGGTGCCCCGGAATCGCGTTTTTAAACGAGTGAGAGAGTGAGGGAGACCAGCAGAGCAAGAGGAGGCCAGAGGAGCATGAAAGAGTAGCAGATTCTGATGAATCCTCACAGCAACCGGCATGGCCCAGTACTTACACGTCTCCCTGTGCAGCTTCAAAGTCGCCCATCACTAAAACTTCTATCTTTCTGATGCCTCGACATCCCACAAACCGTGCACAGTGACCAGGGTCATAAGGCTGGCCCCCGTTACCAGTTCCCCTGCCTGACCATGAGCTAGTCACATTCAATAAAACCCCTCATGCCTTTGCTTGTATACTCCATCTAACCTCCCCAAAGGCGTATTTGCCTATCCGTCCGCTCTCTCTCTGCTCCCCACCTGGTTCAGCTGCTCCCTGGGCACTCCTCCCATGTGGCCCCCTGCATGGCCTCCATGCCTCTGTCCTCTAGGACCTGTGCATTTCATAACGTCTTTAATTTCATGTGCCTCCGGAGGTGTAGTTTCCATGGCCATGATGGAGTGATCCTTAAAGACTCTACAAGAACTTAACCCCCAATTTGCAACACAGTAAAATACTATATTACATATATATGTATGTATTTATAATAATATGCTACTTATAGTAACATACTATACCATATATATTTACATATATAACATGTATACAATTATACTTATATACGAATATACAGAGAAGGAAGGGTACCAATCAACTGATTAAAAATTACTCCAAGCATGCTCTGTTGGCCTTGAATTACAATCTTATGATTACACGCACGATTTTATTTTGAACAAATCTGGTAGGAGCTCCTTCATGCTTTTCAACCAAAGATTTCCAATCCTATCGAAATGAACACGGGGCGCCTGGGAGGCTCAGTCGGTTGAGCATCTGGCTTCAGCTCAGGTCATGATCTCAACGGTTTGTGAGTTCGAGCCCCGTGTCGGGCTCTGTGCTGACAGCTCAGAGCCTGGAGCCTGTTTCAGATTCTGTGTCTCCCTCTCTCTCTGCTCCTCCCCTGCTCATGCTCTCTCTCTCTCTCTCTCTCTCTCAAAAATAAATAAACAGTAAAAAAAATTAAAAAAAAGAAATGAATACCTTGTTCAGTAACCAGGTACTAAACCCAGAAAGTTATTCAGTGAACACCATCTGGACTAGATCAGCGTAAAAGTAACTGGATCAATCCCCATTTGCCTCAAGCACCTAAACGGAACACTTTTCCTTTTCTTTGGAATGCCGAGTAACCCCCAAACTACAGGGCCACTTGGCGATGAAGGCGGGGGACTGCAGTGCATTTGATAACTTAATGCAACTTTTTACCAGCACTTGAAACTCACATATGAAATCTACACTTGATCTTTTTCTGTTCGGAACTGGCCAAATTAGCAGCTCTATCCCCATGGACAACAAAAGGCTCTCAGAAATACTCAGGGAAGCTGACCAACCAGAAGGCCCAACGCAGCCCAGCGCACGGACGTGGGGGCAGACAGGTGCCGCCTTCCCCGCCCACCCTGTAATACACAGCCTTTCAACTTCAGATTGCTTATTTCACGTCTGCCTGCTGCCGAAATGTGTAGGATGATCAAGGTACGTGGGATATGTTCAAGGTCCAAATGAAGACTTCAGGGCACACATTCAGTTAATTGGGAAATTATATAGTGATTTCACTGCTCATTATAGTGAAACTTTTTTTTTTTTACTTTAGAAATGATGCTGTTTGGTGAGTAGCACTAAAACCTCATAAGGCTATTTGAAAGGTTACAACGACTAGATTTAGGGGCAGGACAGGTTTGCTGTACTTTCAATGGAACATGGTTCGTTCCTCCAAGCGGTGAACAAAATCAGAGCAGGGGAAGTTTCTAAAAGTTGAAACCAACCTAAACAGCCTATCCAAACGGCTGCGTTTGGGAACAGGCTGGGTGACCCCTTGTATCTATTACAGCCACCTCACTGGGTTAGTGGAGGATTTCGGACAGGCCCTTTGGCTTCCCCCTTCTTTGGTTTCGCCTTAGACTTAGGGGAAGTAACAGTATTTCTCCCTTTGTATTTCACAGACACAGGGGCAGCCGGACAAATGTAAAGAAATACGGGCGCCCACACAGTAATTGGGCTGGCCCCGCCTCGCCCTTTATATTCATCCTTAATTGAGTCCCTGGCACGCTCCCCCCAGGGCTGGGTTTAAAACTTCCCGAGCAGGTCCCGGGGGGGGGGGG